GAGTAACAGTAAACAACATGCAGAAAAAGAAATTTCACAGCACAGCGATGCTGATATACACAGAACTGCATGAGATGTCTGCTTAAAAAACAATCTGACAATGAGCCACCTTGTTTGAAAGTGTGAGAAACAGATAAATGGTAGGCAGACCAGACTACAGATGTTCCCTTTCCATGGCACTAATGTAGACAGTATAAACTGAAAAAACCCAAACTTGCTCATGTTGATTAAACACAAGGAAATTAATATAGGACATCATGTTTTGACTAATATTTCTAATGTTAGGCCTCTATGATTTTGTTAAAGTAAATTTCTTCCTTTTGATAGAACATTTCTCCGTGAGATAGGTAATGATTAGAAATGGTCCATATTTTTTTCTGAACACATTTGTTACGAGATTTTAATTTTTAATGAGAGCTCATATAGATCTAAGGATAGTTATTCTTTGATGTGTTTGATTCAAATAAAAGCATAAGAATCAGAATAAATTATATATTTGATTCAAAAATAAGGCAAGCAATCTGGTCTCTTGCTCCATTCAGTAAACATCCCTGTAAGGTGCCTTTCATGTGTTCTTAAAGACCCTTAGTGATATAAATCCTTAAACCTCCTAAAAGATTCTAGTATTGTTTCATTACTCTCTTAGAAAGTCCCCTTTCTCCAATTATCACAATCTCATTTGGTAACATAAACTTTCAATTGTACTTTATATAACTGACATAATGGTGTTGACAAATGTTCTACTACACACCCTTCATTTAAAACTTAATAAGAAATTTGTGACAGTAGTGGAATGCTTCTGAAGGAAAACAATTTTTAAGTTATTACAGGGCAATACCCTCAATATCTTTATTTTGCTATACTCTTTCTGAATTTTTAGTAGTCTTCATAGAAACAGAAAAGATTTTGGGATCTGTTGCAACTTACTATTCCAGAACTTACCAGTGGGTGGAGAATTTCTTGGATTCAGGCATTGCCCATGAAATAGTTGGAAACCAGTTTTGCACCCAGTACAGTTCTTATAGCTGTACCCAACACAGGTTGCACAGCTCCTGTGGCAAGGTTTGCATTCTCTAAGGATGTCGTCAGTGAAGAAGCCATCTCCACACTCACTCACACATGTGCCACCTGCAACAGAAACAGAGCCTAGCGTCATACTGACCTCTGTCAATCCTGCAAGACGGTACCTCATGTGCAGCATATCTCTGTCTCCAGCAAGAAATGGTTTAAGAGATAAACAAAGTGTGTATGAACATATTAAATATTTTACAGCTATATAAGCTCAAATTTTTTATCATGGAAACTACATTCAGCTCATTTGCCTATGCAAACTTCACAAACTTCAAACTTCAATCTGCACTTAAATTTGTACCTAGCTGGGCTTTCACTGGTATGCCACATAAAAAATCCTATGAAAGTCCAAGTCTGGATAAAAGTTTTAATGAAGAGTCTCAATTATTATAACATCCCAATATAGAATCTAAGCCTAGAATTCTCTAAGATTTTTACATACATGCAGATTTTGCATATATAAAAATTTTAGGGATCTCTAGTTTCTGCTGAATACAAAGTTAAACTCAGATAAATCTGATTTGGTTTAAGGGTTGGCATACTTCCTCAAAGCCCCTGGAAGTTACTACACTGATGGCTTACTGAGCTTCCTCTAATTTCAATGTTAAAAATTCACAGATTAATATATCACCCTGGGTTGTTAGCACAGAGTCTTCCATGAGTGTGACACTTTTGTATTCCATTACTGGGCACCTTCAGCAGGCAATGCACAAGAATACCATAACCTCAGGAATTGCTGTGATTCATTTTTGGCACCATGTCTGAATAAGTCATACCTGACTTGAGGGCTCTTAATAAACCTAAGAGATTCCCAGTCTTGTGTGAATCTGTTGTGGAATTTAGTTGTTTTAACTGATCTCATTTCATAGTGTTTAAGGCTCATTACCCTATGTGGGTCTGAAAGTCAAACTAGAATTGCAAATAGTAAGGAAATATTTATGTTTTTCTATAGTTCAAAACCCTACTTTCATGCAGTCTGAATCAAATTATCATGGTTTAGGAATGGTATTTCCCAATTTAGAATTCCCACTGGTAAACCTCAGATCACATGCAGCTCACTCCGTCCCTCACCCCCTCCCACCGAAGCAGGATAGAGAGGAGAATTGAAGGCACAAAGAGTGAAGGTCACAGGCTGAGATATGAACAATTTACAAAAAAACAGCAACGAAGTAAGAAAATTAGCAGTAACAACAACTATATTAATAAGTGTACAAGACAGGTAAGCAACTCACGAGATTGCTTACCACACAGAACCTGACACTACATGACTGCACACCCCGTGTGTTTGCTCACCACATCAGCCCAACTGGAAGGGGAACCCATCCCCATCAGCCCCCTCCATATGGTGTGAGGTGGTATAGAATTACCCCCTAGCATGTCCCTCCTGACTGCTGCAAAAGTTAACCCTGTGCTGGCCAGAGCCAGGACATTATCCACCCCTTATTCTATACAATCTACACCACGTCCAGATCCTACACCTTCCAAACATGTTATATATATATATTTGTATATTCTTTAAGATA